CAGCTGCTGCTGGAGACGGACTGGGAATCCATCTTGCAGATCTGCGACATGATCCGTCAGGGAGACACCCAGTAAGTGCTGTTCGGCTTTCAGGCGTGCTGCATCGCAGCTCTCCTCGTCTTCGCCAGGTGAAGTGTGAGGGCCCCAGACCTGTCAGCCTGTGGTAGCTCACGTCTCGCTGTCCCCTTCCAGAGAAGCGTTGGAAGGGCAGTACCATGGGCCCTGGTGTGCTGAGGTACTTCCCTGACCTCAGGAGCTGCAGGCTACTGCTGGCCTGAAATCCTCAGAGAAACTCAAGCTTGAATGTCCTTTTTCCTTCTGTGTCCAGTTTGGCTTGGGGGAATCGCTCGGACCATGAGCTAACTGGACCTCGTGTTAGGGTGGGGGTTAGCGGGTCGGCAGCAGCAGGTGCGATGTCCCCTTGGGCTCTCAGTTACCTGAGGACATGCACTTTCTCTCCTTACCCAGAGCTAAATACGCCGTCAACGCGATCAAGAAGAAAGTCAATGACAAGAATCCCCACGTGGCTCTTTACGCGCTGGAGGTAACGTCAGCCCAAACCGTGAGCACTGCGGGGGCCCGGCCCCCAGGCCAGGCAACTTCCCACCCTTCATAAGCTGCCGCCTGGGCTGTGCGGCGTTCCCTGCCCGGCGCTGGGGGGTTTGCCTCCTCTTGCCTCCAGCACAGAGGTGTCGCAACTGATCAGCAGAGCATGGGTTTTGTTCTTCAATTCTGTCTCAGAGTTAGGAGCGGGCAAAGCTGGAACTGGAGACTTTGTCCCTGGGGGTCTGTCCCTACATAGCAGAGGGACAAAAGCCACCCTGCAGCTGATGGGTATCTCGCTCTCCGGCGCAGCGGTGTGGATTTCTCTGGCTGACACTGCCCTAACGTGACTCAGTGCTTGGAGTCACCTGTAACCTGTGCTGGGACTCCCCCTGGGCTGCAGAGTAGGGAGGAGGTGGCAGGTTAATGTTGTCCTTTGCCCTTGCAGGTCATGGAGTCAGTCGTTAAAAACTGTGGCCAAACAGTCCATGATGAGGTGGCCAATAAACAGACTATGGAGGAACTGAAGGAAATACTCAAGGTAAACGTATCATATTTTACTGTTGGTTTTGAACGAGCTTGTGAGAGAAGCAGCAGAAGGAGAAAATGTGTGTGTCCTCTCTTTTGTTCCCTATGTGTATGGAACAGAAGGGAAAGTGTTCAGGAACGTGTCTCAGGAAAGAGCGAGCTGCACTGCGTGATGTGAAGGGGTGAGGTGGGCATCTGGGGAGCGTGTGCCAGGGAGAGATGTCGTGAGAGCAGAGGTGATGTTTGGCTGTATTGTGACGTGGGGTGGGAGCATGCTGCGAGGCTGGACCGTTCCATGGTGAATGCTCCGGGGTACAGTGCTTGGCTTGGCTTGGGACAGCAAGGGAGGATGGAGATGATGGTCTGGCAGTTGCACCAAGGACCTGCCTGAGCAGCGGCGAGGAGAGCTCCCTCCTGTAGTACAGCATGAGGCACGGGGGAGGTAAAGCAGCAAGATGAAAACTGGCAGAAGCTTCCTCTCTAACGAGGCCATTTCGTTGGCCTGTGGAATCACTTGAGGAGCTTTGCAGGATGTTGGCCTGGCTGTTGTCGCTGACAAGCCGTGGTCCCAAGCTGCCGCTTGCTGGTTTGTTACAACGTGATGCCTGCAGGAGCTCTGTGCGTCCTCGGACTGGAGACTTCCCCAGGTGAAGTGGAAATGGGAACTCCTGTCTCCAGCTCCCAGCCCCAGAACAGCAACACCCAGACGAGAGCTTGCAGGGAGTGCTGCTGTTCCTTCCTTACAGCCTCCATCTTCTGCCAGAAAAGGACGGCCGGGTGACCTGGATATCTGGTGCATGAGCTGTGCGAGTCCCGTCACCTCACACACCGTAGCAGGGTGTCCCTCTCCTGTCACCTTCCTGCGAGGGCTGACTCAGCCTCCACCAGGATCTCCTGCTGAGATACAAACACGGCCACGGCACGATGGCCAGGCGAGTGGCACGTCCACTCCGAGCACTGAGGAGATCAGCTCAGGTCAAGAGCTGTTGTGGATCTGTCTGGTCCTTGTCTGCCTCAGTAGTTTCGTGACTGCTGCAGGCCCGTTCTCGTCCTACATGTGGAACTTTGCTGCTAGTGAGTGCTCAGTGCTGTAAAATGGTCTTAGTTGTGATGAGGTTCAGGGCCATGACATGCATGGAATGCAGGAGTTTGCCAAATCTTGTAGAAGTTTGGAGCTCCAGGAATTGTCAGTAAGTCATGCTGAGTGGGCCGAGCTCTTGGCTGAAATCGCAGCTTGACAACGCTCCTCCGCTGGCTGGGGGATTGCCGAAGCAGCCGGTCATGTGAAGGCATGATGGCTCAGTCAGCTGATGACAGGGCTGCACCGGCGGCTGGCTGGGACAGGAACAGGCTCGCCAAGTTTCCCCCGGCTCCTTGAGCTGTGATACAACCACCCCTGCCTCCAAAGGGCAGGCTGCCCAGCTGTCCTAGCTGTCATGGCTGCATCACGGCCGCGGCAGCTTTGGGTGCTCCTGGGCAGGAGGCTCAGGGCGGAGGTGCTGACAGACTGGCACTGCCGCCCTCCAGCTGGGAGCTGGTGGTGCCCCGTCAGCGCTGGGGTGAGGCGGGTCGTGCTCTGCCCTGCTGGGTGGCTGCAGGTCCGGCAGTGTTCCGAGTGCGGGAGGAGCACCCCTTGGGGGAGCGAGTGCGATGCTGGGCAGGCCGGTGCTGCTGCCGGCCCCAGGGAGCGGCTGCACGAGGCTCTGTGGGCGTCCGCTCACAGCATCGTGACCGCACCCCGTTCCAAGTTGGTCTGGGCTGCTCTGAAGGATGTTTTCTTGTTTATGCTGGAGGGGGGAAGTGGGGAAGCTGAAGCAGTACGTAGTCCTTGCTGTGAATTGTCCCTGTTGCAGCTTTCTGACAGCT